CTTCTAAAAAAAAAATACTTGTCTACTTCATGTACAACCAGAGAAGTGAAAAATTCTCCATTCGTGTAATGAATCGAAGAGCTTTCTACTGTCATGTATAACTGATTCAAACTTATTAAAAAAACACACATTTGTGTAAGATAATGACATTGATACATTCATAAGGACAGAGCCTTCATGATCCTTTAAGCCCCTCTTAAAGTTCCTCCTCCCTACACTGCCACATAGGGCACTGTTTTCAGCATATGAACTTTGGGAACATATTCAAACTACACCATTAAGTAAATGTTTTCTATGAAGTTACCTCCATGTTTTAATTGATTATACTTCATAGAGGAAAATATTTACATAACAGTTTCTTTCAGTTCAAATGAAGAAAGAATTATTATCTAAATAGCAAATATATTTTAAAAAATATAACAGATTAATATGACAATATGCCTAACAAAAACAAAATTTGGAAGAAAATTTTTATGAAACATTTTAGAAAGTTGCTCTATAACTTAAGCAATACACTGGGAGTTCTACTTTTTCAAAAGGGTAGTATAGTTGCCTAGTTTACATTGCAATTTTATTTGCTCTTTGTTAATGTAATATTGTATAATCGAGAGCTTAATTCTTATAAACTGTTATTGGTTTATAAAAGTATGTTTAATGAGCAAAAGCTTTAATGGCTGAATGTCATATATGTGAAATGAATATATTATATCTATTTTTGTCATGAAAATAAATATGTGAAGCAAGATGATTTGTGTGTGAACAGTGAATGCAATTAAAGTTACTTTGTTTCCTTTTTTCATTGTAGGTCTCATTGCAATTAGAATTACATTACTTCCATTTCCTCACTGGATTATTTTAAATAATGCCGTAGACAAGAGATGTTTCTTTTAATAATTGCCAATTCCTTATCACATGTCTTCACAATAATCAGTGGAGAGAATACCTTGCCAAAAAAGCCAGCTTCACTAATCAGCATATTTATAGTCCAACTAATATACTTGAGGAATAAGTATTTGTCAACAATATCAACTTGCAGCAGGTCAGTGGAGTTCCTCATTTGGCTCTCCCTGTAGTGGAACTTGTGGATATTTGTTGATGGCCGCTTCATTCATCTTTTGGTTGGGTTGTTGCTGGACAACCAGCAATAACATCTGGAATCTTGTTAGAAATGCAAATTCTTGAACTTCACCCCAGATCTTAAGATTTGAATCAGAAGCAATGGGGATGGATCCCAGAACTCTGCCTTAAGTAGTTCTCCAGGGGATTCAGATGCACATTAAATTTGAGAACCACAACATTAGTAATTTCAAAAGTGAACATTTTCAATATCGATACCAATTTGAGATTCATTACATAGTTAAGCTACAAGAAGTTTATTTAGGGAGCGTATTAGGTTAATGACATTGATAGTTGTGATAGGATGAAGAATGGCACCCCCAAAATGTTCACATCGTAATCCCCTGAATTTGAGAATGTTATCCCACATGGCAAAAGGGACTTTGCAGATGTGATTAAGGATCTTGGGATGGGGAGATGATCCTGCATAATCCAGGTGGGTTTAGAGTAACAGCAGGTGTCTTTTATTTATTTATGTCCCAGGGATTGGAACCAGGAGTGCTTAATCACTGAGCCACATCCCCAACCCCTTTTATTTTTTGAGAGGGCTTTGCGAAGTTGCTGAGGCTGACTTTGAACTTGTGATCTTCCTGCCTGTTATGGTTTGAATGTGGGGTGTCCCCCAAAGCTCACATGTGAGGCAATGCAAGGAGGTTTGGAGGAGAAATGATTGGGTTATAGCCTTAACCTAATCAGTGAATTAATCCCTGATGTGGCTGGAAGAAGTGCTCATTGGGGGCGTGGCTATGGGGTATATATTTGTATCGGCCAGTGGAGTCATTGCTTCTAGATGACCATGTGAGCTGCTTCCCTCTGCCACACTCTTGTGCCATGATGTTCTGCCTTACCTGGAGCCCCAAGGAATGGAGCCTGTTGTTTATGGATTGAGACCTCTGAAACAGTGAGCCCCCAAATAAACCTTTTCCTCCTTTATAGTTGTTCTGGTTGGGTCCTGAAACAATGCCTCACTGCACCTGGCTGACAAGGGTCTTTTGTGAGGTCTGAAAATACTACACAGCTGGACTGGAAGGTGGAGGAAGAAGCTGGAAAAGGTGAGGAAACAATCTTCTCTAGACCCTCCAGGACCTTGACTTTAGGACTTCTGATGTCCAGACACTTTTGTTTTAAAAAGTTGCCATAACCTTTTATAGCAAGCAGCTATAGGGAACTGATAACAACTGTATATTCTTCTCGAGAAAAACCTGAAACTTAATTTAAGGATCCTGAAAGGACTAGGTGAATTACGGAAGTTTCATGTCCAGACTGCTAGGTGTTTTGCATCAAAACCAGAATTCCCAAAACAACAAGATTGGCCTTGAAGCTAAATTTTCCTTACCCCAATCTGAAAGTAACTTTTTCCTGGCCTTTGAATTAAACCTATGGATTTGCTACTTCAGGATATGCCATTGGTTACTGCTTCCATAGACTGCTTTTAAAAGGTCTGAGGAAAGTGGCTTGTTAGGGTGGCATCTTCTATCACCGAACCATGAATCAGTTTAGCACATTGCTTTCCAGCACTACCCGTGCACATGAAGGCTGACTAGGTACTTCTACTTCCAGACATACATTGATTTTAATTTCTATAGACCTGAAGAATTTAAGTTTAAACTTTGGCATGTTAAAGTGAAACCTTTAGCTCTAGTCCAAACTCTTTTAGAACCAAGGCCCAGGATAAAGTAATTCATTTGCAACCATGTAGCTAAAATTTATTCACTTTTGACAAATTATCCTCTTACCCTATAAATGGTGCTCAATGATTTTAAAAATATCTGACTTTTAAAAGTAAGCCTTCTGGGCATGCGTGGGGTGCGGGGTTCGATCCTCAGCACCACATAAAAATAAAAAAATAAAGATGTTGTGTCCACCGAAAACTAAAAAAAAAAATTAAAAAATTCTCTTAAAAAAAGTAAACCTTCTGAAGAAAAATGCTAATTTCAATTTTATACCATTTAAAATGTAAGCACATGAGGAAACTTTCATATAACTTAGAAGTTTGCTGCATTCTCCTTTCTACACTAGGAGTTCGTACCTTGAGTGTAAAGAGAACAAGAAATGGCCGTCCTGTTTCCCTATGACCTTGTCTGGATATAACCTCCCCTTAAGCTCAAGCTACCTTCCCCTCCATGAAAGAATGCAAGGTTAAGGCATGGAATTCCAGAGGTGAGAACTGAGAAGGGCTGCAGCAGGGTGGTGGGGCATCAGACACTGAGGTGGAAATGGGTTGTGCGCTCAGTTAATAACCTGAGTCTGAATCCTGAACACAAGTGGTGGCAGTTGCCTTCCCAGGAGTGGCCCTGATGTCCCTATACCATTGAACATAGACTTTCATATCTCCAGGGTATTGAGATAGGAATTTAGGATAGAGAGATATACTGAGTCTTAAAGGAAACATCCACGAGCCACTGCGATGCAGAAAGCACAGCTGTAAATCTTGGCCCATGCCCTTGTAAAAACGAGGGAAATATACAATTGCAGAAAAAAATTGTGCATCCATCTCCTCTCTTCCCCTAATGCAGCCCTTCTATAAATATTGGACCCCCAGCCCAAGGCAGGGCTTCTCACTCTTGAGATAGACTGCATTCTCTCTTGAATGGTATCTACTTCCTAAATAAACCTGTCTATGGCTTTGGCTTGTGCTGAAATTTTTTTCTGTCCAGTATGCCAAGAACCCTGCTTGGTCCTGAGCTGAATCCTCCCCTCCTCTGGGAACTCCTTGGACCCTTCTCCAGAGAAATCTCTTCTTCCATGACAGTATGTGCTATCGCTTGGGAAATAATGCCATGGCCAAATGATGATGAAAGAATAGGATACTAGTTAAAACACAGGCTACTTAGGGGGTCTATTACTACGTTTCTAGAATACTTGGGTTATGAATATTGTTTCACCTTTTTAACCTTCCAGTGCCTAGGTGCCTAGGCCCCAAACTTTGTACATGACATTCAATGTGCAAGTATATTATTTTATTACTTTTTAAAAATGTTTTAGTTGTTAGTGGAACTTTATTTTTATTTATTTATATGAAGTGCTGAGAATCGAACCCAGTGTTTAACACATGCTAGGCAAGTGCCTTACAACTGAGCCACCATCCCAGCCCTAAGTAAATTATTTTAAATAGTTGAAAAGACATAATTAGAGGTGAATCTCCTGAGAAATGTCTTAATAGAATGGATCCATTTATGAAGTAGAGGTAAGGGGAGGGTGTCAGACAGGTCTGATAGAATGTTGGCACTCATAAGAAAACACTGTTCAGGAGCTGGCAGATACTCTAGCTCACTGACAATCAGAAAGGTTCTTTGAGGGCTGGGGTTGTGGCTCAGCGGTAGAGTGATAGCCTTGCATGTGTGAAACCTGGGTTAGATCCTCAGCACCACATAAAAATAAATAAGTGAAATAAAGGTATTGTGTCCAGCTACAACTAAAAAATGAATATTAAAAAAAAGAAAGGTCCTTTGAGGTGTCTGATATGACAGAAAAGCAAGAAAAAAGAAATCAAAGATACTATAGACAGGGAAAAATATTTTGAAACCCACACCAAATTATAAACCATTTCCCACTGCTTGACAAGACATCTTATGTCTGGGGAAAATATGTTTCTCTTTAAAGCAATTTTAGGAATTGTGGCTGACAAATCCTCAGGTGACCCCAGTCACTCCCAACTTCTGGGGTGTACACCCTTGTATAACTCCCGTACACCTGCTTTAGTTGCTAAATTATGGTAATTCATTATGCAGAATAGAAAGCTAATACAGAAATCTTTTAATATATTTTTTTTATTGGTTGTTCAAAACCTTACAAAGCTCATGACATATCATCTTTCATACATTTGACTCAAGTGGGTTATGAACTCCCATTTTTTACCCCAAAAAGAGAAAAAAGAACAAATATTGGGTTACTGGCATTGAGGAACATTTATTAATGAAGGTCAAACATTCGAAGAGAAGTCTTCAATGCTCATTTCCATGATTTTAAGCACTGATAACTCCTTGTCATGATTACGGTTACCTCTGACACTAGAGAACTGCACAGGCTGGGAACGTGATGTGCTAAGACAACATAATTCATCTGAAGCATCAACCTTTTCAGTGTCACTATCAACCTTTTCAGTGTCACTATCACCTTCAATGACACACACAGAAGTTTCCTGGTTTATTAAATCGTCTGAAATACTTGGATTGTTTTCATCACAACTTGAAGGTTTAAGATTTGTTTCATCATTCACCTGCTGAATTATAACCCCTTCTGAATACTTTGATTTATAGATGGGTAAGAAAAATTCACCCGATAGAGAGAACATCTCTTTTTCATCCTTTGGTGCAGATGATAACATATCTAAAGCCTTTCGGTATTGTTGGTTTTCCTGTTGAATTACTGAAACATTTTCATTTTTTAATTCATTTTGTTCTGAATTCACAGTCCTAAGGAAATTCAACATATTGCCATTCTTTAGCTGTACTGAATTGTCCTCAGATGTGCAGCCCAAATCTATCTTCAGGCTATGCAGCAGATGTCGCATTTTCCCCTAGTATTAAGAAAATAATAACGTAATTATGAGAGTAATCACATCAGTTAAACGAATCAAATTGAATAACTTTTGTCTGTGAGGCTGCTCATCTCAGCAGGGTTAATGCATTCCTTTCCACTGCCCCTGCTTCACCCACCGCTACCCCCTCAAAAAGTGCAAGGGAAAAAATGCTTGTTTTAATGCATTCTTTGACGGTATAAAAATTTCTGTATTAGAATTATTCTAATGAAGTTCTAAGGAAAGACAAACCTCGTCCAGATGCTGTTTATTTTGTTCTATATGTCGCTCAAACAGTCGTTCTAAAAACCTAAAAATGATAAATAAAAATAAATAAAAATGTTAATGTCTTAAAATGAGACAATATAAAATAGCCACATAATACCCAAACTACTGAAAGATAGAAAATATATTTTGGAAAATATTGAAGCTAAAGACTAATCCCTCTCTGTTAACACTGTCAAGTTCTCCAGCTTGGAAGCCAGGAAGCCACTCACTCCCAAAAGCTCTCTCCACCACACATGCAGCATTAGAAGTTTTTCCTTCCCTTTCTTTCACATACACACAAAATCCTAAAGAAAATCCCCTCACAGAGCTATTTTACAATGCTTCCTAAATTATACATGAAAAATTCTGATCGTCAGTCCACATAAAAACTTAAGTTACCACCTACAAGTTCCACAAAGAGCTAGATATTTGTGCTAGACACATAATAATCATGTTTCCTTTAATTCTGACCAATGATAGGAAAAGAACAGCATTGTCAAAATGGTTTTTAAAGATGAGAAAACAATATCACTAAGATGATAGTTTAGGACTCAAGCCATTAGGATGATTTAACCAAGATGTGACAGGCTCCACAGAATTTATTCTTTTGACTACATCATGCTCGTTAATGATAAATTAATGGTTGTTAATGGTTCCTCAAAAAACAACTGATTTATGTTAACATGGAAGTTATGAGCCAACCTTAGAGCTGGTAGTTCTAAATCATCTAATAATGTTTTAAAAGTCCAAGAAACCTATATTTTACTTTTTATAATTACTGTTAACATTTTGGAATATTCATGCTTAGGCATTTTTCTATGCTTGCATATTTCTTTACCAAAACTGGAATAAAACAATAGATACTGTTTAGATACCTACTTTTTTCTGCTCAACTATATATATTTTGAAGATCTTTCTGTACCAATAAATCTACTTTTGCAATTCTGTGCATGTGTATGGTGCTAGGGATGGAACCCTGGGCCTTGCATACACTAGACAAGTGTCCACCACTAAGCCACACTTCCAGGCCTACCACTTTGTTTTTAATTGCTGAACAGAATTCACTCTAATAAATATTCTGCAAATCATTCAACCAAACCTTTACTATTCAACATTTAGGTAGATTCATTTTTGGGGCAATTATTTTAAAATGCTATAATAGTCTTGTCATCTTTAAGAAAAATGTAATTTTTTTTTTTTTTTTTGTGGTGCTGAGGATTGATCCCAGGGCCTTGTGTATGTGAGGCAAGTATTCTACCAACTGAGCTATATCCCCAGCCAGAAAATGTAAAATTTTAAGCATAAATACACATGCTTTTATATGCAAACTTTTGTTTGACATCTTACCCATTTTTAAAATGTACATTTCAGTAGTGTTAAATATATTCACATTGTTTGAAAACAGAGCTCTACAACATTTTCATCTTGCAAATCTGAAACTCTATATCCATTATGCAATATTTTTTTAACGAACTTCTTAAAATGAGAAGTAATTACTGCCAGAAAACTCCGGTCCTTTTGATATAGCTTTTTATTCCAATAATTAAAATGTTGGCTTTGATTTAAAAATATTTGATGTACGGACAGAAGTCATTCACTAGAAATGTCTGCACTTGGCAAATTACAATTATAACTGAGAAAGCATGGAGAATGTGTATTAGGGTCCTCCCCTATGCTACACAATCAAGAAGACCCTAGTGCCAATAAATTTTATATATATATATATATATATATATATATATATATATATATATTTTCAAGCTAGATTCAGGACACTCAATTTCCTTAAGATATGCAAAACCTCATCTGGTTTTGCAAACTTTCCATTTCACTTACAGTATGCAAATCTAGCTTTTAATTTGTTCTCATTTTATCAGATCTAAAAGTAGTAACGGTTGTAATAAGAATGCTTGCTTTTGATTCTCATGACAATTTCAGATTAGTAAAATGGGATTATACAGTTTTGTAAATAAGAAGCAAAAATTTTACCAGTTTGCTATAACCAAGAGATATAATAATACTTAAATGAATAAAATCTTCATTCTTTTTCTATAATTCACCCAAACTGTAGATTTGCCCCAGAGTATGAATTAAACATTCTCTATAACTTGCTATCAATTATAATATCTTCAGAAGCAATATATTTTTTCATTTCTTAATGTATGAAAATAACTAAGAAATTAACACCGTATGAAAAACATTTAATATGCAACTCAGCTGGCATAACACAATTTTAAAAATCTAACCTGTTTGAAAATAAACCAAGTTTCAAAATTTCATCTGTTACATCTTCAATGAAACTCAGATATGACAGTTCTTCATCACTGGGAAGGCAATGCAGAACAGAAAAATCATTGCTTATTTTTTCTGAAAACTACAGGAAACATGGCTATCTAGTCAGAAACAGCTCTTTAATTATAAATGTACTTCCATTAATTATCACTGGAGAGGATATCACTTGAGAGGAATATCATAAAACATATTTTTACTTTCTCAAATTATGAAAGATAAGTGTTTACTAAAAGTGAGAGGATACAGAGGAAATATAATAGAGGAAAATATAACAATAGGAAAAATAAGCAGAATTAAAAAAAAAAAAAAAAAGAGAGAGAGCAACCGAGGGCAAGAGGGCAACGAGATGTGATCTCCACTGGGAGCAAGTGTATCTGAGCAGTATTTGCATTTCCTCTGGCTCCTGACCATGTCCAGCAGCAGAGATGCATCCCTCAAAGCCCTTGTGGGAGGGAAAGGGAAGCTGTCCAGAGAAGAAGGAGCTTTAACTATGAAGTCCTTTTCTGCTCAGAGGAAGCAACTTATATTAAGGTTCGGAAATTTACTAAGAAGAAAAATTTGCTATGTTCTCAAAATGCTTGAGGAGAAAAAAATCTAATAGGCAAATTTGTGAACATCAATGCAACAGTAATTTATAAATACTTAGACACATTTCTTTTTTTTTTTTCTTTTTTATACCTTTATTTTATTTATTTTTATGTGGTGCTGAGGAGAGAACCCAGGGCCTTGCACGTGTGAGGCAAGCACTCTACTGCTGAGCCATAACCCTAGCCCCTTAGACATATTTCTTTATTATACTATCTTATGAGATTAACTATATTTTAGAAGCTATTATAAGGAAGTGATAACACTAATTAGCTGAAATTAGTGAATTAATAGAAACAAATAACAAGTATAAAAATACTCAATAAATAATTACTGAATAAGTATATATAAGGTAAATAATTAATAAGAAAATCAGATAATAGATTAAAATACTGTACCAAAAAGTAACTTTTTAAAGTTGTTTTTAGATATCCATGACAGTAGGGTATATTTTGATATATCATACATACATGGAATGCAACCGTTCCAATTTGTATCCATTCTTGTAGATGTACATGATATGGACTGGCCATGTATTCATATATGAGCATAAGAGAGTTATGTCTGATTCATTCTACTGTCTTTCCTATTCCCATCCTCCCTCCCTTCCCTTGATTCCCCTTTGTCTAATCCAATAAACTTCTTTACTTCTCCCTTGTTGTAGGTTAGCATCAACATATCAGAGAGAACTTTTGGCCTTTGGTTTTCAGGGATTGGCTTATTTCACTTAGCATAATATCTTCCAGTTCCACCTATTTACCAGCAAATGCCATAATTTCATTCTTATTTATGGCTGAGTAATATTATATATAATATTTTCTTTATCCATTCATTTGATGAAGGGAACCTAGGTTGGTTCTGTAGCTTGGTTATTGTCAATTGAGCTGCTATAAACAGTGAGGTGTCTGCATCACTGTAGTATGCTGATTTTAAGTCCTTTGCATATAAACCAAGGAGTGGGACAACTAGGTCAAATGGTGGTTCCACTCCAAGTTTTCTGAGAAATCTCCATACTGCTTTCCAGAGTAGTTGCACCAATTTGCAGTCACACTAGCAATATATGAGTGAACCTTTCCCCCCACATCCTCACCAATATTTATTGTTGCTTGTATTCTTGATAATTGTCATTCTGACTGGAGTGAGAAGAAATCTCAGTGTAGTTTTGGTTCGCTTCTCTCTAATTGCTAGAAATGTTGAACATTTTTCATATATTTTTTGACCATTTGTAGTTCTTCTTCTGTGAGGTGCCTGTTCAGTTCCTTTACCCATTTACTAATTGGGTTATTTGGTTTTTTTGGTGTTAAGTTTTCTTGGTTCTTTGTATATTCTGAAGATTAATGCTCTGAGGTGCAGGTGGTAAAGATTTTCTTCCATTCTGTAGGTCTCTATTCATGCTCTTGATTGTTTCCTTTGCTGTGAAGAAGCTTTTTAGTTTCATGCCTTCCCATTTATTGATTCTTGATTTTACTTCTTGTGCTTTGGTAGTCTTATTGAGGAAGAGTTAGACCTACTTTTCTTCTAGTAGGCACAGGGTCTCTGGTCTAATGCCTATGTCCTTGATCCGCTTTGTGTTGAGTTTTGTGTGGGTGAGATAGGGGTTTAATTTCATTTTGCTACATATGGATTCCCAGTTTTCCCAGCACCATTTGTTGAAGAAGCTATCTTTTTTCCAATGTAGGTTTTTGGCACCTTTGTCTAGTATGAGATAACTGTATTTATGTGGGTTTGTCTCTGTCTTCTATTCTGTACCACTGGTCTGCATATTCGTTTTGGTGCCAATACCATGCTGTTTTTGTTACTATGGCTCTGTAGTATAATTTTTTCTTTTTCTTTTTTTTTTCTTTTTAGTTGTAGGTGGACACAATACCTTTATTTTATTTATTTATCTTCTTATGTGGTGCTGAAGATTGAACCCAGTGCTTCACACATGCTAGGCAAGTCCTTTACCACTGAGCCACAACCCTAGCCCTCTGTAGTATAATACACAATCTATTATACTATTGTGATATGTTCTGCTTCGTTTTTCTTGCTAAGGATTTCTTTGGCTATTCTGGGTCTCCTTATTGTTCCAAATGAATTTCATGATTGCATTTTCTATTTCTATGAAGAATGCCATTGGAATTTTAATAGGAATTGCATTAAATCTGTATAACAGTTTTGGTAGTATAGCCATTTTGACAATGTTAATTCTGTCTATCCAAGAGCATGGGAAATCTTTCCATCCTCTAAGATCTTATTCAATTTCTTTCTTTAGTGTTCTGTAGTTTTCATTGTAGAGGTCTTTCACTTCTTTTGTTAGATAGATTATTTTGGGTTTCTTAGCAACTAAGTGACATCAATGTTTATATTTTTTGAGGAATATTTTTCAGCTGACTTATCATTGGTGTATAGGAAAACAATTGATCCCAATTGTATGGGTGTTAATTTTATATACTGCTACTGTTCTGAATTCATTCATGAGTTTAAGAAGCTCTCTGGGAGAACTTTTTTTTTTTTGATGAGGTCTATGTTGTCCAGTCTGGTCTCAAAGTCCTAGGCTCAAGAGATTCTCCTGCCTCAGCCTCCTTAATTTGGGATTACTAGCACATTCCACAGTACCAGGCTCATTTTAAAACTGAATCACAGGGTTTTACTTGCTTAAAAGCAGCCAAGTTTTGGAATAAATAGATTATTTTCCTTTAAAAATGTAACTTAACAACATTAAAAACTACAATTATAATATCTGCAAAGAACTGATGTAGTTAGAAATCTCTATGAATAGCATCCTGAAGGGCTGGGGATGTGGCTCAAGCGGTAGTGCGCTCGTCTGGCATGTGTGCGGCCCGGGTTCGATCCTCAGCACCACATACAAAGATGTTGTGTACGCCGAAAACTAAAAAATAAATATTAAAATTCTCTCTCTCTCTCTCTTAAAAGAAAATAGCATCCTGAACTACTAAAAATATGTATTTCTTGAAAACTCTTATTATTTTAATTTACAAAATAAACAATAATTATAAGTACCACTTATTTAAAAAAATATGGTAGCTATTATTAACTTAAGGAAAATTTTCTTTTTTTAAAAAAATATTTTATTAGTTGGACACAAAACCTTCATTTTATTTCTTTATTTTTATGTGGTGTTGAGGATCGAACACAGGGCCCCGCATGTGCAAGGTGAGTGCTCCACCACTGAGCCACAACCCCAGCCCCAAGGAAAACTTTCTACTGGAGATAATGAAATGAAAGTTATTTCAGAAATTCTAGTGATTTTCTTAAATTTAGCTGGTATTATAAGAATGGTGATCTAAAACAGGTGGTAAGAGAGATTAGTGTTCAATCCTGATTTATTTTATAATGGCTTCTGTGATTCTTAATTTCTTTTTTGGAACCAAAGACAGAACCCAAGAGCATTCTTCTATTGAGTTACATTCCCAAAACCCTTTGAAAAATTTTGAGACAGGATCTTGCTAAATTACCCAGGTGGCCTCAAAACTTTTAATCCTCCTGCCTCAGCTTCCAAAGTAGCTTAGATTACAGGCATGCACCATAGGATGGGGAGGAGCGGGCAGTTTGTGATTCTTAATTCTTGATTCCAACTAAGCAAAATGAAGAGGTTAAAAATATCTTACTTGGAGTAGGTTTTATTTTCTGAAGGAAGTTTCATGGTATACTGACACGCTGTCCTAGAAAGAAAAAGTTAAAATATTTTAGCAAAACATTTTGGTGGGCATACAATAAGTATTCCTATGTTCTGGAATTTTTAAAGCATTTTCGTATCCATGATTTAATTTAATCTTTCCTAAAAAAAAACCTAGTTGTTTAGGGATTATTTTCCCCATGTACTAACAAATTCACCAAGGACCAAAAAGGCTAAGTAACTTGCCAAAGTTAATGTTAGCTAGTGGTATACACAGATTTTTAAACTGACAATCTCGTTATAAATTCAATATCCTTTTAAAAACTACACTATGGCAATTCCCTTATACAATGACAATTTGATTAAGGTTAACGATAAGTAATGCTGAAAACATTTTCCTATGGAAATTTTTATTAAGCTAGTCATAATAAACTGTCATTATTCAGTTATATTATCATTAATTAATTTCAAGGTCCTAAAATTCAGGCATACTCAATTATAATACTTTACTTCTTTTATATATAAACTATATTACTTCTTTTATATAAAAACTATTAGAAAAGATACATATTTCTTTGTTTCAATCATTCTTTATATTCAATTCAGACTAGCTCAAGAGCACCTTATAAATATTAAGTTATGTGTGCTGAAGCACTAGGAATTTCAAGGACAGAGAGGTTAACAGTGAACCCCCCCCTGTGGCCTCAGCAGGTGAGATCTTCCTAGCAAACACCTGAGTTTGAGAAGCGGGGCCCTGAGGGGATGGCGTGTACTTTCTTTCTGCTCTGGTACATATCACTCATTTTTTTAAGAAAAATATTTATTTATTTAGTTGTAGCTGGACACAATACCTCTATTCTATCTATTTTTATGTGGTACTGAGGATCAAACCCAGGGCCTTGCATGTGCTAGGCAAGTGCTCCAATGCAGAGCCACAACCCCAACCCCATATCACTCATTCTTGCCTTTTAAAATCTTCACTCTTTCCTTTATTCTACCCACTTCATTTCATATCCAATCTTGGACACTGGAAATGCAGTTGATAACTGAAACTGGTTACCAAAGGTTCCCTACACCTGCTTCCTATAATTTTTGTTTAGGTTTAGTTTTCCGCAATTACTAAACATGATCAGTATTTCCTTAAGAGTGCCTCCACATAGCAGGGACAGATGAAGCAGTAGCATATAGGGCTATTCAAAATCATCAATTATGACTCCTCAAATGGTCAGGTTCTTCAGTCTTACTGATGCCATGTAAATTGGTTAACACCAGTTGTCAGGAAACTGTCTTGGGGAAAATCCTTTTTTATATGAATACAGATAACAAATAATATACTAGTGTCCTTTATTCCTTTATTAATACACAAACAAAATCAGTTCATTAAAACCTTTATTTAGCACCTAACTTTGTAAAACTTCTTTAGTGAAACTACTTCTGCTACTTAATCTTATAAGAGATTAAAGCATATAACTATAGTACTTATGTTGTAAATACTACATGTCTGTTATACAGAAAAATAATTAGATGAAGACAGCAAAAATAATTTTCCTGTAAATGGTTACCTTTGTGAAGAAGGCTGCAGAGTACCATCTTTAACAGTGTGCCACCTTAAGTCATTCCCTTGTAAAAGTAAAGGGGTCGTTTCTTCTTTGGTGCTATACGTCATGTAATTAGATGCCTGGGAATGTAATAAAAAGAATAAATAATTTGCTCCAAAGGTGCATTATGAAAGTAGAAATAAAATACAGCAAATTTCAAGGAAAATGAACTGAAATATCCAGTAAAAGTAAAAGCACTATAACTTTTGTAGTCCAAGTCTGCATTTTTTAAAACAATACTTCAGTGATTTTATTCATCCGTCTGTCTATGCAGTCAGACAACCAACCATCGTATGCTAATAACAAATGTTTTCCTTGATTCGGCAGGACCAATCTGGCCATTCAGAGGGGACTGTAAATAGGCACACCTTTTACTTTTTGGCTATATTTTATACAACAAGTGCCACCAAGAGACTATTCGTCATATTCCAAATAGTTATATATTGAGAGATTAAAGCATCTGCAATTCAAATGTGGCAACGCAAAAAAGATCTTATATTTATTACCTGCTTTGTGTTGACTTTTGAATCTGTCAAGTTCTTAGTCTCAATTATATCAAAATCAGAATTAAAGCTGTAATATTTAAAAAGAAATGATTATTATTCTTTTAAAGTATAAGCACTATAAAAGGCTTTTCTGTCTATAAAAAAAATAAACATAAGAGAACGAGATCCATTTACCTACTCTTATAAAATGTGTAATTTCTAATTATATAATCAGAAAATAGATATAGGGCTTGGAGTACATGTGCACCCCCAAACTCCACTACTTTTTTGAATAGTAGCTAGATTTCAGCCAAATATACAGAACAATCACAAGGGGACTATTATCCATATAACATTCATAAACATAATCATAAAAGGACACAATACACTTGTTTTCCTCAGTTCTCCCCTGCTTGGCAAGTTCTATCAGAGATTCAATTTCTTAATTTTTATTTAATATATGTAGATCATCTGATATTACTGCACCTCCTATGTATATGATAAATAGATAACTGAATAAATATCTATATGAAAGAGTACTAGTCAGCTTTTTATTTTCTAAAACAACTAAATACTAGTATCAAACTGTTTATGTAATATTATAAAATTTGTTTCTTTAATCATTTGGCAAATTTTTAATGAATATTTATCAGGCATTACTGTATGTAAAACCATTACTGAGGCAAATCATACTTAATTTCCAGACATTATACCAATTGCCTAAATTATCCTGGGCTGTTGTTGCTGCATAAGATTGAGTATCTGCACAGGGATAGCTGCATGAAGGGTTGCTTTTACATCCTCTCCTAGCCATTGTTTTGCCTCTTTTAACAGGAATCAATATGCATATTTACACAAATGCTGTCTGATGACATACTTTAAGGATTTTCTGAAAGTATAATTAAAAGCATACAAAAGTTCTAGAACTGTTTGAATAATAAATTAAATTTTGTAACATTCATATTTATAAAGAACTCGACAAGATTAACAGCTTTCTTTCTTTTTTTTAAAAACAATTCCTCTGATAGATCTAATGAGATATAGAAGAGTCAGGGCTGGGGTTGTAGCTCAGTGGTAGAGCACCTGCCTGGCACATGTGAGGCCCTGGGTTTGATCCTCAGCACCACATAAAAATAAATAAATGCGGGTTGGGGATATACCTCAATTGGTAGAGTGCTTGCCTCTCATGCTCAAAGCTCTGGGTTTAATCCCCAGTACCACCAAAAATAAATAAATAAAGAAACAAACAAACAAAAATAATAAATAAATAAATAAATAAAAGTGTTCTGTCCATCTACAATTAAAAAAATATTAAAAAAAAGAAAAAATAGGGAAGAGTCACATTAATTTCATTACAATCAAAATGGTCTCACCAGACCTTCAGTCTGGCACATAAGGTACACAATGGATAGAAAAGAATATGGCTTAATTAATTTATTTTCAGACGTGCCATACCTGCTTAATTCAGTCTGGGTTTCAGCTTCCATTCGCTGTTCTGTAAAATTCTTTTTTCTTTTGGCAGGTGTATAATATCGATACTGTGACAGGAAAGATTTTGCTTCTGTTTTTAAAGTGCGTGGAGTGAATGGCAATTGTTTGTTAGAAAAGAGTTCAGAATGTTTATCCAAAAGATCCCTACTGGGTGCCTTTGAAATAACTAACTGAAAGCGATGGGAATTTGGGAATGTGCTCCTGGGCCTTCTGCCATACATGTTTCCAGAGCATGGCTTCCTGGGACTGGAAGCTACATAATCTATGCAGGACGGGGAGGACCTGGAGTTCTCAACACCATTCATGAGGCTTTTATCAGACTTAGGTAGACTTAGGTGTAGTCCCTCTGAAGAAGGTACGAGTGACTGCTCAAAGGATGGAGATCCATTCATTTCTTCTATTAACACATTCTGGTCTTGTGGTTCCCCTGAGGGCTAAGAACATTTGATTGAGTCGTCAATTGCATTAGAAATTCACATAGTTGGGGATTCCTTATTAATTTACATGTATAACTCATTTATTCTGCACATCAACTTTTGAACAGTGGTAAATTTATACCCCCCCCAGCCTTTTTTTTTTTTTTTTTGGATTAAACCCAGAGCCTTGTACACATGAGGCAAGAACTCTACCCCTGAGCTAAATCCCTATCCCCTCTTTATTTATAAATGAAGAAACTGAGGTTCAGGGTCTCACAGATTCAAACCAAGGCCAAACCTAAGCTCTTTACCATGTATCATCTGTTTCTAAAATTTATTTGAAAATTATATAATTTTAGATTTTTTTTTACAGCACAAGGAATCTTAACCTGATTTAAATTTCTTTTCTAGTAATGAACAGGTCAGCTAACAGTTTCTAAGTAAAGAAACTGCAGATAACTGGATATTATGACTACTTTCTAAAATAGGTCATGTCACCTTTTTCCTTTCCAAAATAAGTAAGTATTGTGGCATTCAAGTTTGAATCACCAGAGCATTAAAAAGTTTTAAAAAGTGTTCCCAAACTAGGATCACATTACAGCATATATACTCAAAGAGTTTGGCTCTTGGAAAGAAAATTCTAAGTACAATCTGAAAAAAATGCTACAGGGCTATTAATTAAATATCATAGGAATTATTTATATAGAATAAGGTAAGGTCAGAGCAAACAGAAATGAATAAGGCATTAATTATTGTAAGAAATTCTTATCAGTAGTGGATTTTTACTAAAAATGAATTACCAAAGAGAGTCTTTTCAAGATAGAAATACAGGATTGGGGACATGGTTCAGTGATAGAGTATCTGCCTACCAAATGCAAGGCCTTGGGTTTATTTTCCACACTGCAAAGAAAAAGAAATAGAAATATACTTTTTCTGTTTGATATGGGCTGGAAAAAATTGCTTCAGAAGTGACTGAAAGCACAAACTTTTCTGAATTTTCATATCTCACAATCTCTACCTTGTTTCCTACTTTTTCCTTCCTTGGAAACAAGAACACAGCATAAAATCAACTGTATTAATCTGCTCTTTGAGGTTATAACTGTTTCTTTTCGTTATAATAATCAGAAGCTTACATAGATATTCGCACAGCAATATGTAATATACTAGTAAATTCACCACATATTGAATAGCAGATCATCGTAAAGTTCTGAAAACAGAGAAGAATTCACCAATTATATGTCAATAGACCCAAAAGTCTGGTGGTAATCTGATCACTCACTGTTATGTCACCCTTATAGTCTGATGTAATCTGCTGTAAACTGTTCTTATGACTCAGAATTTATGTAAAGTAATAATCATTAAACAGTTTATGTACTCATCACATTTGCATATCAAGAACACCTACCCGCTTTTATAATTATAGAACAACAGAGTACTAAATCTTTTTCAGGGATAAGTGTCAGAAGAAATAATATAGAAAGGTTTTCCAACTGTCAGATTTTTAAACAGTTGAATAAATTCAAGTTCAGAATAGGATGGATACAAATTATCTGAAAATCTAAGGCTGCTTTGCAAAAAAGTTTAAATTATGTTTTAATAAAAGAAATGAATTCCTCTTGCTTCCCACTGTTACATACTTCATTTAGGAAAAAATATATAACTTTTTTCTCAAATTATACTGAAAGCATTTTTATACTGCTTTAAAAATGTCTCATATATTTATCAGAAATAGAGAACATACCCACATGACGTTCAATTAGTCTTACTAGCACAAAGTACGTGCCACACTAGTGTGAGTAGAATTGGATCCCTGGCTAAGTAGTGCATGAGTCTGTGTGGAAGTCTGGAAGGGCTTAGAATGGTCCTGAAAGTGACTGCATGTGGGTCAGTGTGAGAAGAAAAGTAGCCCAGGAGTATGGCAATTAGAAGAAAAGATCTCATGTGTGTAAACAGCCCTGACATCCAGAGGCCAAAGCTAGTGTTTCCTTCCTTCCTCTCACTTCCTTTCTCCCTCCTTCCTCCTTTTTCATTTTTCTTTTTGTGGTAGTGGGGATAGAATACAGGGGCACTCTACCACTGAGCTACATCCTAGCCCTTTTTTAAATTCTGAGACAGGGTCTCACTATACTGCTGTGGTTAGCCTCAAACTTGCCATGCTACTGCCTCAGCCTCCTGAGTCGCAGGGATTAGAGAGGTGTGATCCACAAAGCCCAGTGAGTATTTTCTTTTTAATTATAACAGTTTTTTCAGAGAATATAGGTTGTGTCTGTTAATAAAAAATCCATCAAATTGTCAAAATATATGGCTCAAACTAATAATTTAAAATGATTCGAATGTGTCTAGAATATTTATCTTCAAGGCTTATCAAAAATGTAAGCAAATTACTGTGAGTTCTAAATGAAGTCAATAAAACATATAAAGAACAAATAAACTTTTATGGAGGCAAACAAGGTATAGGTTTATAGGAGCTAAAGAAAAAAACAAATAGAAAACATTTACAGACAATAAAAATGTAATATATAAGTGATATATTTTCTTTACATTTTATAAACACAATAGATACATAAAAATACATAGACATATTGAAATATATAATTTTTGTTTTCAATAAACCCCATTCTTATCTTGAAATATAATTACTAATTTATATTCAAAATGTTGGAGCATAGAAATATCTTAATTTTCAGTTAAAAAATACATTCACTAAAAATGAAAAGCTACTTGGTGAGTCAAACATTGATGAACAGATTCCCAGATGGCAAATTATATTACAGAACATAGAGCAGATTTATTCTCAAGGAAGTGCTCTATTTCTGGTCCTTTATCTAGAAAATAATCTTGGTGGGGGGTTATCATCATATTCACTGCTCCCCTGATGACTCCCAAATCTATTTTCAGCCCCCATCTCTTTCCTAACACAGATGCATCTATTCAGCTATCTACTGAATATATTAGGATGCACCAAAGGCACCTCAAGTCAGACATGTCCCAAGAAGTGAACTGGTACCTTATGGTATCCCCACCCCTGAAGAAGCCTGCACACACTTCATCCTGCTGTCACCACTGCAATAATGACATACTGCCATTCCCCTAGGTGCCCAAGTCAACAACCTGGGAATCTCTTTAACTCTTGCCTCCTGCCCTTCACAGCACTGAATACGTCACCAAGGTCAGGGGATTCTCCTTTCTGATATCTCTTAAATGTATTCCTTGTGCTGTCTAACTGCTTTAAGATTAGGTCTTAACTTTCCTTCTCAGCTTACTACAACTGTCTCATAATTAGCCCACCCTTCACTGTAGCCAGTGTTATCTTTATGAAGTGTACAATGTGTATAATGAGGATGTAGCCTCACAACTGCTCTATAGCTTCCCCATATTAATCAAGGGGCAAAAATCCAGACTCATTAGTATGTCACACATACCCTTAATCTTTCTCTCTGCTTACTGATAAATCACATCTGCATCTGCAATGAAAAGAGCTGGAAAATAAATATAGTAGTTGGTACATGCTTACCAAGTACTTACTCCCTCTCTCTCTCTCTCTCTCTCTCTCTCTCTCTCTATATATATATATATATAATTATTATTATTATTTTTTTTTTTTTTGCCAGACAGGCAATATTTTACCACATCATGGGTGCTAGCAGTAGAAAACAATGCCCAGGGACCCAGCCCATGTGTGCATGTCTGGGATACTCTCAGTGGCTGTGCCCCAGTGAAGTGACTAACAAGGAAACTGACCTATCTTGAATCCTGGCAGTAAGTGGAAAGGAACCACTGACATTTGAGAACTTGAAGTCATATGCTATCCCCACACAAGACCACAACCTAAATTTGCCTTATCTAATGGTCCACAAAAAAATCATAAGCCAAGACAAATAACCCAGTTTCCTCCCTAATATATAAATTATACAAGGATAAAATATAGTGGGGAGAGAAAGCTATGAATTTAAAAAAACTTGTCAATTAATTGAAATTTTACACTACTTCTAACAAAAATGTTTATGAGCCCATGGGGAAAATCGCAATACTTAATATTTGATATTAAACGATTCTTATTAATTTTAAAATATAAGGATGGTATTATAGTTATGGTTTTAAAAAGTCTACCTTTTAGATATATACTGAAATGTTTATGGGTAGAATTATATAGTATCTGGAATTGACATCAAAATAACCTGAGAAGGAGGCAGTAAGCAGGAACACAGATAATGGAAGACTGGCCACAAGCTGGTTGTTGTATTGTAGCATGTGGGTGACGGAACATGTGGGTTCATTACCTATTCTATTTTTGTAGATGCTGAAATTTTTAAAATTAAAAATGTAAATTTTGAGTTCTACCAAATTCAAAGAATGAGTAATTTCAAATTTATATAAGCTAGTCTAGCATACAGAGAAAGACGGAAGAGTGCTCAGTTTATTTTATAGGATAGCATAGACCAGACAGAGGAACAACAACAACAACAAAAAAAAGAAAAATGAAAGGCCCATGTCAATAACAGATGCCAAAATCGTAAACAAAATATTAGCAACTGAATCCAGCAATGTACAAAAGGGTCATGATCATGAACAAGTTCTGTTTATACTTGGGATACAAAGTTAGTTTAACATGAGAAAGTGTTGTAATTCACTACATAGCAGATTAAGAGAAAAATCATTTCAAGAGATGCAAAAAAAACATTAGAAAAAATTAACATCCATTCATGAGAAAGCGGGGGGGGGGGGGGAGGGACCTCTTAGTAAACTAGGAATAAGAGAGGACTTTTTAAATTAGAGTTTAAAGGGAATCACAAAAAACTTTATAGCCAAGGTCAGCAAACTATAGCTGGCACTCTAACTCTGACCTACCATCTTTTTTTTTTTTTTTTTTTTGCATTTCAGCAATTCCTTTATTCTCTTACACTCTGAAAACAAAACCTGCAGAAATTAAAATATTTGGGTACATTTATAAATTCATGAACTAGTAGTTTTTGACAGTTTATACAGAAAAGCCATCAACTAATAACATAAATTGCAATTATAGTTCTGATATAAGGTATAACAAGATTATGAATGCCTATGGTCTCTTTGGAAACTTCTGCTCAATGAATCACATACATCTCTAAATTTCACAATTGATCAATTAAAAAAAAAAATCAAACACCCAATGAGACGATACACCTGTTTTAAGCATACACACACACACACACACACACCCCTCTAAGGATAATTTTTTTAAAAAACATTGTCTCCAAAATCTAATTATTGAGCAATACTTTTCTAGTAAAAAAACCTTATTTAAAAAAGAAAGAGGAGGGGCTGGGGTTGTGGCTCAGTGGTATTGTGCTCACCTAGCATGCATGAGGCACTGAGTTTGATCCTCAGCACCACATAAATGTAAAAAATAAAAGATTTTGTGTCCACCTAAAACTAAAAAAGAAAGAAAGAAAGAAAGAATCTCTCTGTAGCACAGATTGCCTCTTAACTCCTGCGCTCAAGTGATCCTCTTGTTGCAGTCTTCTGAGTAGTTGGGCAATGTCTATAAATTTAAATGAAACAAGTACATTCCTTTTCTCTCTCTCTCTCTCTCTCTCACACACACACACACACACACACACATCCAAAGAAATAAAATAGTTCTTCATCTATGATATACATTAAATCTGAAACTAACAACCATCCCTCAAGGACAACTCTAGGACTAGATAGCTTCACTTTTTCAAACAGGCAAGAAATAGTATCCATCTTACATAAACTCTTATGGAGAGCCCAGTGGGAAAAACAGTATATACCAATCTCATCAACACAGATATAATTCTTAAAATATACTAGCTAATTGGTGGTAAGGTTGTCCCAAACTTATTCTAGGAACACAGGGTTGGTTTAATTAAGTGAGTTAATCAATGGGGGTTGGGGTTGTGGCTCACCTACCATCTTTTTTGTTAGTAAAATTTTAGTGAAACACCATTAAGCCAATTCATTTATGTATTGTCTATGGACTCTTCCCAGTGGCAGAGTAGTTGTAACAGAGACTGTGTGGCCCAAGACACGGAAAATATGAAACATCTAGTTCTCGATAGTGAAAGTTTGCTGATCCTACCTACAGCAGAATGCTATCACAAAGTCAGGTTTCACCTTAAAAAGTAAAATTATGTGAAAATGTGGTATATATACTCAATGGAATATTACTCAGCTTTAAAGAAGAGTGAAATTATGGCATTTGCCAGTAAATGGTTGGAGTTGGAGAATACCATGCTACACAAAATAAGCCAATCCCACAAAACCAAAGCCTGAATGTTTTCTCTAAAATGCAGATGCTAATTCACAACAAGGTGGGGGGCACTAGGGAAGAATAGCATTCCTTAGATTAGGTAGAGGGAAGTGATGGGAGTGGAGGGGAGGAGAGGTGGGGATAGGAAAGACAGAAGAATGAAACAGACATTGTTATTGTATGTATATATGTGACTACATGACCAATATGATTGAATTGAAAATGAAAAATAATTTCTCATTTTTCTGAGTGCAACATGTACATTCAGAAAACTGAGAAATTATATCCCATCTATGAATAATATATCAAAGTGCATAAATGCATTCTACTGTCATGTATAACTAATTAAAACAAATAAAAAAATTTTTAAAAAGTAAAAATATAATCTTACCTTTGATATGGTGTTAAAAAATGACTTGGAATTATTTTTAGAATTGGTCTGCAATGCAGCTTTAGTTAATTTAAACTCTTTTTCATATTGTGCTAATTCTTTTTTGAGTTTCTCTCTTCGTTGTTGGTCTGCATCTAAGGTGAAAAACAAACCTTTAAAAATATGCAACAAGATAGAAAATTTAATTTTTGGACTTGTTACACTAAATAAAAAAAATGATACATTTTTCTTGCGAAAAATATTTATGCTATATAAATAAAATCCATATAGTTTTTTGAATGAAGAGAAATATTGACCAATATGTAAATTTATGGAAATTCTAAAAGGATTAACTAATGAGCACAAACTTGATGTGAGCAAGCCTAAGGGTATAAGAAAGTAATTCCTTAGTAGATATTCATAGAGATATGAAGATTCCACATGTTGTTTGTGACTATGTAACTGCCAGATACAGAGTTTCAATTAGTCCAGACTTCTTCCCAAATGATATATTGTCAATAGCATCATATGCTATTAAAATGTTAAATTATTTATGATGTTATAGCCAGGTGTGGTAGCACATGCCTACAGTCCCAGGTACTCTGGAGGCTGAGGCAGAAGATCTGCTTGAGCCCAGATCAAGGCCAGCCTGGGCAACACAGGGAGACCTGACCTCAAAACAAACAAGTTCAAAAAGCCATTACATTTTAAAAACATTTTCAATCAGAAGGCAACTGATTTCTATTTCTCTTAACTGCTATTCATTTAAAAAAGCAAAGAGAAAACAGATTTACACTTTCTGGTGTGCTTTAAGTCAGGCATTGAATTGCTATATCACTGTATAAAGAAAAACTGGTGTAATGATTAAGCTAGTCAAATTTCCAAATTAAATAGAAGGCTGACTATTGGTAAGATAATACATTTTCATATAAAATTAAAAATCTAACATTCTTTTTATGGATTTAGAAATCCAAATTAGTAAACAAAATAATTTCAAGTTGAAAATCATTCTGAATCAGAATTTCTTTGCAAAAATTTCTGTAAGCTTAAAAAACAAACTAAGGTAATTTATATGTATAGTTAAGATTTCAACTATACATATGCTTTCAGGTTTTTTATTACACAACTTAAAAAAGATAATCTTTTTTTATAAAACTATTACTCAGTAAATTAATACCAGAATGAAAATTGAGCAAAGCTTTCCAATTAGATTTGACACATAGTTAAAGACTTCTCTGCTCCACTGAAAACTGGGTAAAACTATTTTAATTCAAATGATTTAGATTTTCAAAGCTTGTAAATATTAAATCAGGGTTTTTTTTTGTGTGTGTGTGTGTCTGTGTGTGTGTGCTATAAAAAAGTTACTAATATGATGCAGAAGAAAAACTAGAAAATTAAAAATCTGGAAGAATATAAGGGGGTGACTTAAAATGGGATAGGGAGGAAGAGAATGAGAAGAAGATTACCACTAAATAGGGAAGAGAGGTGGGAGGGAAAAGGAGGGAGAAGGGGAGTTGCATGGAAGATGGAAGAAGACCCTCATCGTTATACAGAATACATGTATGATGTTGTGAGGAGAAAAAAAAAGTGTGTCACATTAGATTGGGTAGAGAGAAGGGATGGGAGGGGAGGGGAAGGGGGGACAGGAAGGGCAGCAGAATAAAATAGACATTATGATTGCTGTATGTACATAGGTGACAATATGACCAATGTGATTCTGCAACCTGTACAATCAGAAAAATGAAAATTATACCCCATTTGATTCAAATGTATGAATTGTCAAGATCACTGTACTGTCATGTGTAGCTAATAAAAAAAGAAAAAATACAATAAAGTATTATGTCACACTACAACTAAAAGAATTAAAAGAAAATCATCAAAAAAAAATCTGGAAGAGTCCTTAAAGATGATCTCATTACCTTTTATTTTATAAAAAAAGTAAGGTTCAAGGCAAAATGACTTGCCCATAACTTGTGTGCTGTGGCCAAATTGATCTTTAAAAATATATATTTAAGGACTGGGACTGTGGCTCAGTGGTAGCATGCTTGCCTTGCATGCATGGGGCACTAGGTTCGATCCTCAGCACCACATAAATAAATAAAATAAAGGTATTGTGTCCATCTACAACTAAAAAAAATTTTTTTAAATGTGTACATAAAGGTCTCTATTCTTGTCTAAAATGACTTTTTCCCTCCTATAAAAACTATTTGACTTCCAAGATTCCTTCCGATATGAGTGTCTACACCACTAGGGTCTGTTGCAAACACAAAAGGAACGGAAGGGATGAAAACAAACTTCGGGGTTGAGGAAGTGGCTCAGTGGCAGAGCACTTGCCTAGCAAGAGTAAAGCCCTGGGTTTCATTCCCAGCACCACACCAAGGTGAAATAAATAAATAAATAAATAAAGTGCCAAGCATAAAATCCTGACAAGAAACTGTGTTCAATGAATGACAGCTGGTGTCTAGTAGCTCACCTTAAGTCCTACCTATTCCTAAGAAGATACACAAGAAAAGATGGATCTAACCAGTTCTACTGTTTGTAATCTTTGCTAAATTGCACTCAAAGGGCATTTTCTAATCTTAGTTCTCATTCTTATCTATGCCTTATTCATTCATTTACCATTGAGAACGGGCCACTTTGGGCTAGTATTTTGTAACATAGAAATCCTCTCTCAAACTATACAAAAATTAAATAATTAACTTAGGAAAATACTAAGCTTAAAATTTATAATGCTTTAGTTTTTCTGTGATTACTAGTAAGATAATCACAGGCTGTGATGTATCTATGATCTACTTTTCTGGGGATCAAACTTACAAAAGAATATAGATATAAGCCTAGCACATACTAGGCAAGCACTCCACCACTGAGCTACGCCCTAGCCTCTGTTTATTTTTAGTACACATTTTCCAACTTGACTTCAAACAAAGGCCTCAAATGTCAACCTTCAGATCTTTAAATATGAATTTCATTTTTTTGTTTGATTATTTCCTTAGTAAAGATTTCTATAGGGCTGGGGTTGTGGCTCAACGGTAGAACGCTCACCTACCATGCACTAGGCCCTGGGTTCAATCCTCAGCACCACATAAAAATCAATGACTTTTAAAGTATATATCACTATCATGTTTATCACTTAGGCTATTAGGATATAAATCATAGCCAAAATTTATCTGGAGAAAAGTGTCACAAAGTTATAGTATTTATAACAAATCATCTAGTAATCTTAACAAGCCATGGGCAATGAGAATAATATAATTCTAGAACTTTGGCAAACCTTTCAGTACCATCCAAACGTATATGTAGGAAAAATAAAATCCAAAGAAGTTAAATAATTCATCCAAAGTCATATAGTAATTTAGTGGCAAAATATGGGCTTAATTCCCAATTCCTAAACTTAGAAATACAATATAGATTTCTTTTATTTACGGGTAAATTTTTAAAAGTTAGAAAGGCTTTCTCAAAGGCAATATGTCAACACCCTCTAAAATGGCTACTATCAAACAACAGAAAAACTAATGTTGGGGAGGATATGGAGAGATTGCAACTCCTGTGCAAAATTGGTGGACTGTAAAATGATGCAGCAGTTATAGAAAACAGGAGGTTAGTTCTTCAAAAAAATCAAAAATGGAATTACTACGTGATCTAACAATTCTACTTCTTGTTGGGGAGGGGATATTCCCTCAAATATTTGAAAGCAGGATCTCAAAGAGATGTTTGTTTCTCTTGTTCATAGAAGCACTATTCATAATGTTCATAGCCTGTTCACAACAGCATTATTCACAGCAGCTGAAAGGTGGAAGCAACTTGAGTGTTCATCAACCGATGAAGACATAAATAAAATGTAGTACCTGCTAACAATGGAATTTTATGCAGCCTTTAAAAAAAAAAAAGGAGATTCTGACACACTGCAACATGAATGAATCTTGGGAATATTATGCTAAGTGAAATTGCAAAAAAAAAATAAATGCTGCAGGATACTACTTATTTGAGAAAATTAGAATAGTGCAATTCATAGAGTTACAAAGTAGACAGTAAAGAACAATTCATAGTGACAGAAAAGGGAATGGTGGTTTCCAGGGCCTTTACGAGGTCGAGTTATTATTTAATGGGTATAAGAATTTCAGTTTTGCAAGATGAAGAGTTCTGGAGATAAATGATGGTATTAGTTCTATCAAAATATAAATATACTAACTGACCTGAACACTTAAAAATGGTTATGATGTCAAATTTTAAGCTGCGTATATTTTATCACAATCTTTTTAAGAGGCAATATGTCAAAAAATTACTTACATTTGATGCTGGTAGTCACACTTATTGGAATTGAGCAGTCTACTGCAGCTGAAAAACAAAAATTCATTGATTAATGATATTCTTAATATTGATAAATGGCAACAAATATCAACTGTGGAAATCACAAAAAAATCCCCACACTTGCAGTTCCTTGTTTTGATTTTTATTCTATTTCTAGAGATGAAAAATAAAATGTCTTTTATTAAAAATATACCAGTTGGGATTAACAGATAATTAGATACTGCCAAAGAAATATTAGTCAACTTAAAAACATAGCAATATAAACTATTCAAAAAAAAGACTGAAAAAGAAATGTTCAGAGCATTGCTGACCTAATAACATACCTGTATCATTGTATAAGTAAACATACTTAAAATGGCAGTCCTAAAATAAGCTTAAAAAAAAATGTAAAAATAGAGGATTTATACTACCTGATTCCAAGATTTACTGTAATTCAATGGTAAAAAAGGCAGTGTTGTACAACCATAAAGTTGGTCATATAGATTAAAAGATCCAAAGATGAAGTCCAGAAATAGACCCACATATATGGTTAAGTGACTTTCAAAAAGTATTTAGGATTCAATATAGAAAGGATAACCTTTTCAACAAATGGATATGAAGAGGCAAAAGAATGACCTTTATATCCCCATATAAAAAAACTAACTCAAAATGGACTATGAATTTAAGTGGAAGAGCTAAACATAAAACTTCTAGAAGAAAACAAATTTAGGAAACCTTAGTAATCTAAGCTTAGGCAGATGTGTCTAAGCAAGATATTAAAAACAAACTATTAAAAAAAATCTGAAAACTGAATTTAATCACACATGACTTTAATGCCACAAAACATTATTTGATTTTTTAACCATTTAAAAGTATAATCATAAAATAAGAATAAATATTTTAAAACTTTTGTTCTTATTTATTTATTTATTTATTTATTTATTTATTGTGGTGCTGGGGCTTTGTGCATGCAAGGCAGGAACTCTACCAACTGAGCTATATCCCCAGCCCAAAACTTCAGTCCTTTAAATAGGAAAATTAAAAAGCTTACACAGTAAAATACAAAAACAAAAACAAAAACAAAACTGGGAAATGTAAAAAGGTCTGCAGTTAATAGTATATTATCAATATTAATTTCCTGATTTTTAAGATTTTAACATTGGGGGAAGCTGGGGGAAGAGCATATGGCAATTGGCTATATTATTTTTGAATTTTCCTGTAACTCTAAAATTATTCCAGAATAAAAAAAAAAAAAAATGAGGACTAGTGCCTGCCTAGCATGTGTGAGGCCCTGAGTTTGATCCTCAGGCTTGGAAAGAAAACAAGAAAGAAAATTAAAAGACAAGTCACAGACTAGGAAAAAAACATTGTTAAACATGTATTTGATTTAGAACCTACGTTTAACAAATTAAATCTCAGACAAAAAACTTATTTTTTAAAATGGGCAAAAGTTTAAACATATCATTTCACCAAAGAAGATAAAAAGATGGCAAATAAGAATAAGAAAAGTTGTCAAAATCATTAGGTATCAGGGAAATTTTGCAAACTAAAACTATGAAGAGATACTACCACATATCCACCAGAATTGCTCAGAAAGGACTGTCAAGACCAAATGTTGGTGATAATGTACAAGTAATGGAAATGAAAAATGGTATAATTACTCTGGAAAAAGAATCTGGCAGTTTCTTAAAAATGTTAAATATACACATATCATACGACATCACAGTTTTTCTCCTCATAAATAAATTTACCCAAGTGAAATAGAAACATGTTCAGACTCTATGTGAATGATTGTAACAGCTTCATTCTTTTCATTCTTTTTTTTAAAATATTTTTTTAGTTGTAATTGGACACAATACCTTTATTTATTTTTATGTGGTGCTGAGAATCGAACCCAGTGTCTCACATATGCTAGGCAAGTGTGCTACTGCTAAGCCACAGCCACAGCCCCTTGGGGAACTTTTTGGGGTGATAGAAATGTTCCCCATTAGAAATCAGCAAACCTTTTCTGCAAAGGGCAAAGAGTTAATGCTTTCAATCTTGCAGGGAGATACAGTCTGTTATAACCAGTCAACTCTGCCTTTTAGTACGAAAGTTGCCATAGACAATATGCGTAAGAATTAACACAACTATATTTATGGACAATTAAATCTGAATTTCATATTATTTTCACATACCACAAAATACTGTTATTATTTTGTGCAACCATTAAAAAATAAAAACATCATTTTTAGTTCATGAGCCGTATAAAAATAGGTAGTAGAAGGATATAGCCTGCAAGCTATATTGAATTATTCCCATTTTATACTGTAATTGTGGAAATGGTAATTCAAATTATATATTTTTCAAAATATTTAAATGTATCCTTATAATTAATGAATTTTATTAGATACAATTTATCTCTTATGAAAGCTGGCAACAAAAAGAGTCCAAAAGAAAAACAGTCATTAGCATCTTCTTTGTACAACCTTCCTTAGTAGATTAAAACAAAGAAACAAAAAAAACCAGATTATAAACTTCTATTGACAGCAACATCTAATAACAAAATAATATTAATATAATAATATTATGGATAAAAGATAAAATGAAATAACCTAGGCATTAGATAGATTTCAAATATAATTACCAAAACTGACATTCTGAATTTGCCACCTATATAGTGAATACTATATCTCAGTATATAACACCAATTGTATTATAAATAATGTATTAATTTCTACTACAGATATATAATGATGAGAAATGAAGTTGGGGGTTAAAATTGGGCAAAGAAAGTTCACATTTGTACATTTTTACCTTTGGCTGAAAGGATTTTATTATAGTGAACAGCCATGTGATTCTTGACCAGCTGGAGAGTACTTAATCTGAGAGAAGAGGAGTCAGTGCAAAAGGCTAAAAATTAAAACATATTTAATCATTATATATTTAAAATCAATATAATAATCATCACAAGATAAACAAATTACTGATTATTAAGCTCATTCTTATAAAACATTCTGAAATTCAATTGACCTCAGACCTTTATCTCATTCTGGTAACATTTTTTAAAAATTGTTTTAGACATTGATGGACCTTTATTTTATTCATTTATTTATACGTGGTGCTGAGGATTGAACCCAGGGCCTCACACGTGCTAGGCAAACGCTCTACCACTGGGCCACAACCCCAGCCCATCATAGTATCAGTAACACTTATTGGTTATGGACCACTTGGGTCCAAACGTTTCCAAGAGTAAGTTTTTCAGGTATGAGAGTTGGGGGAAGAGATTCTAGAATATAATCTATAACTATATTTACAAAATTATTTCTTTTTGATATTGCTTAATCTTTCTTTTTGTTCTTTATAGTTGAACACAATATCTTTATTTTATTTATTTATTTTTATGTGGTGCTGAGGATCGAACCCAGGGCCTCACATGTGCTAGTCAAGTGCTCTACAACCCCAACCCCGATATCTTTCAATCTTTTAACTAAAAATCCTTAGCCACTTGCTTGACTATGTACCATGTTAATAACTGAGCAATCTTCAGGGTGTGGTGGCACATGCCTATAATCCTAGTGGCTGGGGAAGCTGAGGCAGGAGGATCACAAGTTCAAAGCCAGCCTCAGCAAGTTGGTGAGGCCATAAGCAACTGGGTGAGACCCTGTCTCAAATAAAATACAAAAAAGGGCTGAGTATGTGGTTCGGTGGGGTTCAGCACCCCTGATTCAATGCCCAGTACCAAAAAAAAAAAAAAAAAAAGAACAATCCATGGAGTTTGGGAAATTAAATTCCAAACACCAAACCTAAAGATTCCATTCTGAGAGTCAAAGTCTATTTACACCTGAAAATATGATTTACGAATCTCTTTACTGCAGTCTTTTTAAAATATCAGGTCTAACTTAAGAGAGTACGATCACATTAAAAACTCCATGACATTAAATTGCTTTACCCTCATCTAAACTGTTTAAAGGAAAATTCAGAACCTGTTAAAAGAGTTTACATACAAAAATATAGTATAAATATAGGCATAACCTTTTTAAATATTAAAAAGTTTTTGAGAATACATGCATATGGTTGAAAAACATTCAACAGCTAAAACACCATGTAAAGATGGAAACATAAATGACTTTTGTACACTGAACCTAGTCTCCTCCCCCAACCAGACATATGCTGCTAACCTTTGAAATCAATTCTTTAGGGAAATGCTATGTGTTGTACAAGCATGTACAGTGACTGTGAGGTTATATGGCAAACATTTCTTGGTTGTGCACCATTGCCATGCATTGATCTAAGCTTTTTACAAACACTTATATAATCATTATTATCACTATTTAATAGAAGTCGAAACAGGCACAAGTATGTGAGTTAGATCTTAGGTCAACTGTTGACTAAAAAATGCAATGTTTGGATGTGAGCCAAGGCACATCACACTTAAATGACTATACCTATACCAGGTCTACGTTCTTAAAAAAAAGTTAACAAACTTTACATATTATCCTTTGTTCTGCTTTTCTATGTATATATATATTTTAAATCTAGTGTCAAATTTTTATTTAAAACTTATTTTTCAAAGCTTATAATTCTAGTGTGCAATCTCTCCATGTCTTTATATATATACTCTAATACAAAGAAATATTCGGGAGGCTGAAGCAGGAGGATTGAAAATTTGAGTCCAGCTTCATCAACTTTGCAAGATTCTGCTAAAACATTAAAAGGGTTAGGGATGTAGCTCAGTGTTAGGAGTGTCCTGGGTTCAATCCTCAGTACTTAAATAAATAAAGAAATAAGTGAAGTAATTGAAAATGTGATCTTTCCTTCACATTTAGATATAACAGTATCAAAGATTTTTCATGTAATAATGAAATAAAAAAGGGCTTCAATTATTTTGCCTAAAATCCCAAGCTTACAACTTTTGAAATACAATTATAAAAATATATTTTTAAGTTGATATTAAAAATTTACTTTGAAGGCTTTAAAATATACAAACATCACAGGACCTAGAAATCCAGTTGGAAAAAGAGCCACAAACATTTGCTAAGGACAAATGCTCCTTTTCTCTGCACAGCTTTTCCTTTTCAGAGCTTATGTCTTGACTATGATACTCATCCTGTTTAACCAGGATAGTCTGCAGGCAGAAGCAGACAGGGCTAGCTGTGGCAGTAAGTGGGAGGCAGCCAAGTCCGCATATAGGGCACGTTAATAGTCTGAAGTCAGAAACCCTAAATTCTCTGAAGAATTCCTATAGCATTTAATTATAATTAGTAGTATTGAAGTCCAAATACCCATTAAATGTAGTAATTGTCTCACCAAGTCATATACTTTGTAAATACAGGAAACAGTCATTTAGCAAAGCTACCCATTTGAGGACCTCACTTACCGTTACTTTTGGTGCTCAAGTGACCTTTAAATAGGTATGGTGGTGGACCATATCTGGGAAGGACAGAGGTTGCTCTGACTTTTAACAGAAAAACATGAATTAGGATCAGTGAAATGCAACTTTCATAAAAACAATACTGAATATTTTTAAAATAATAAATGTATCTTTAAAGTCATTTAAAATTTTATTCAATTATATTACTAACCATCAATAATACATCACAGAGGAAAATTTCTACAGTCATAGATTAAAAATTTTCTCTTTTAAGAGAATAAGCTATTTTCAAAGTTTGAGATTTTGGTTTCTTTTGGGAAAATGATAAAAAACATCAATTGTTACTTGATCTATACTGATTTTATTTTGTACACCACTGACCTCATTAGCTTTTTAATTGTTTTCAAACAATACAGCTAAGATTTTGAGTTTATACATCTGTATTAACTATTTTTTAAATTAATTAATTAATTATAGTTAGGTATATATGACAGAAGTGTATTAACTATTTTAATTAATCACAGCTATCTGTACTTAAAAATAATTTTAAGAGTAATCCTCTTGACAAAGCATCTGAGTAAATTAGAAATAAAATAATACATTAATATGTCTAAAATAAGTATACATAAAAATCAGAATCAGAACTTGATAACTAAAAGATATTTTAAGGTTCATCTATGTCCAACCCACTTACTTGCTTGAATTCTATATAAACACACTGTAATTATCAGGGTTTTTTGTTGTTGTTCCAAATGGGTATTTATTGTGTTGCCCAGGCTAGTCTAGAACAACTCAAGCAATCTGCTCTGCCTTAGCCTCCTGAGGAGCTGGGACTACAGGCACGTGCCACTGTACCATCCTATATTTAAAAGCAATTCTAGGGCTGGGGATGTGGCTCAAGCGGTAGCATGCTCTCCTGACATGCGCGGGGCACTGGGTTTGATCCTCAACACCACATAAAAATAAAATAAAGATGTTGTGTCCACCGAAAACTAAAAAATAAATATTAAAAAATTCTCTCTCTCTCTCTCTCTCAAAAAAAAAAAAAAGCAATTCTAGCAATGGAAAACCTGGTATCTCCTTTAAAGGCAGAGTCTGATCTTTAGGTATACGTGGGACATTGAAAAATTATATATAGGCTTTATCACAAAGTAATTTCTTTCTCCAAAAAGTGATTACACTTTTAACAGTAATGTTCAAAATAAAAAAAGCTGAGTTACAGGGTCAAATGTAATTAACATGCAAAATATAACTACAGACTTCCCAACACAGAGACGTTTTAGGAAGGTAACATGGTTAGCTTGCTATCATATGGGCATTAAAAGCTATAAAGAAATGGGGAGGACACATACAAATTCTAGAAGAAATAAGGATGATGAAAGAATTACTGAGGCAGAAGAACTGAAATCCAGATCCAGAGAGGAACACTTACTAGGACAGACAAATAGAAAAACAATAGAACATTCCAAAAAGTTCCTTCTACATCACAGGCCAAAAGACAAAAAGAAAAAAAATTAACTTATTTAGAACAGTAGCAGTTGAGGTGATACCATCTGAATTGGTAATAAAGACAGTCATGAAATTAACATAATATCTACCAGGAAAGAAGGAGGCCTGAAAGCTAAACCTTTTTTCTCCAGAGGAAAAAGAATGCTCCACTTTCTGCCTGTCCAGAATTCAACACCTCTTTACCTGAGAATCACCTCCACTTCCCTTTGGGGAACCTGTTTTTCCTCTAATCTTAGCCCAGCTGGTTCAAACAAAGCTGATTCTATTGGTCAGGGTTGAATATGGAACCCCAAACCGATTAGCTGTGTTGACGAATCAGCAATGAATACGTGACCCATGTCCAGGGACTTTTACTAGAACTATTAGAAAAGATGCTTTTTTTCACTGGGCTTGCTATGTCTAGTGTAGGATGTAATCCAATTCCGGTACTGTGGGTGGGCATCTTGCACCATATGATTAGGGTCTTGTTAAATTGCTGAGGCTGGCTTTGAATTTGTTATCTTCCCGCCTCAGCCTCCCAAACTGCTGGGATTACAGGCATGAACTACCACAACAGGCTACACTATAACAATATAAATTGCTCACTACTTGAGCCATTCTCTAAAATACTGTATCGCATCTGAAACAGACTGAGAGGATACTTCAGCTCTATGTAATTTATTATCTCCAAATTCCATTCAAATGTATGCACGTTTTACTCTAAGTCACAGAAAAGGGGGAAAAAGTTATATTCAGAGAGGTTGGAACAAAAGGAAAGCTGGTACCTAGAGATACTGCCTGGGATGGAATAAATGCCCTCTCCACCCACTTTTACCTATGGATGGTAGCTGTGAACAAGGTAGTTACAATTCGCTCCCGGGTACCAATTTGGCATCTCTTTAGCACAAAATGCTAAAGAATGGAACTTAGATGTACTTTGAGGACATGTTATCCATTTACCTTCCAACGTACACCAAGGCATACACTCATTGGTTTCTAATATTTTTACAGGTAAATGTCATTTTAAAATTATCAGAATTGAAAGGAAAAATTTGACAATTCATCTGGGACCTCTCACAAGCTTTGCTGCCTGTACATGTGTCATATTATCCTGTTTCTTTATGTGAGTAGTGTTTTTTTTTTTGTTTTTTTAAATTGTTAAGTGAACATTTTAGGTAACACTGTAGCAACTCTAGATATGGGATCCTCTCCTGGGCTTGTTTTCCTTGTTGTCTTCCTGTTTGTTTAGTGACTTGGTTAAACAAGTCAACAAAGTCTGTTTCCCAAAGAGTGAGACCTCTGAAGGAACTCCTCAGCATCAGAGCGCTGGGCATGTGCACAGATTCAACTTCTCCAATGAAACGGAACCCCCAGTCTTTGGAAGGAAGTACCCTTGCAAATCTGACCTTCCTTGAGTACTGTCCCTCAGCCTACATAGTTTTCTTACATCTTAGAGTTACACCTTTTTGATAGTTTAACAATTCTTTAAACTTTCTTTCTTTCATTCATTATGTGGTATCTATACCTTAAATGGACCCAGAATGATTCAAAGGGCATGGAAAAGTACTTTCAAACCAAATGCAGGAAAAAAGAACACCATCTTCTAAATATATTAGGACTAAAAACCTGTCCATGAAATTGAACTTATTGTCAGGATAACGAAATTCTTCTGCCTGGGACAGCAGTTTGATTTCCTATACAATTAAATTTTATCAGATAGCTGGAAGGAACTCCACTGAAAAGATGGTGTTTCATGTAGCAGGGTTTCCCAGGAATACTGGAGGTTTGGGAATCTGTCAATCATTGGTAAGTATCTCTGTAGGACCAACATATTAAAAAAAACATATATATATATATATATATATATATATATATATATATATATATATATCTCCTTTTCCCTTGCCCCCACCTCTTAAAAAAAAAAAGCTTTCTTTTATTTTTTTAAAGCCACTTTGTTATCTATACTATTAGCTTGTCTCTTCTTCCTTCCCCAAAGGTCACTGATGACAGAGTAGGTAGCAGTTTGATATTCTCAATCTTTTCTTCCCTTTTTCTCAAAGAAGTGGGAAACAACACTTTCAGATTATCTAGTCCACCCCACCACCACCTGCCACATTTTACAAATAACTAAACTTTCAAATAAAGTGAATGGCTGAAGATTATTTACTTAGTTAATAGCAAAGATCATAAATTAGAGCTACTGTTTTTCAGGCATCTATACCACCATTCAGAAGGTTTACCCTACAAAAGGATGTCTGTAATGTGATTTACTGTATGAAAATGTCAAAAGATAATTTTTCTTTAGGAGTATTAATTTATTATGCTCTGAAATAACTAAAAGTAATCTAATGAAATCTAAGAAATTTATTTTCAACTAAAATTAAGCATTAAAGCTTTGGTTAAATTTACGATTGCTTATAAGTAATAATCTATGGTGTACAAGAATTACAATATTTGTTGAATATTATATCTACTTTAAAAATGCAAAATCAATTACAAATGTTTGATAGTATTTCATATTATGTAACATCCTAAGAATGAAGCTAATTAAGTCATAAATCTTTTTACATGTTTGAAATGAACCTAGTTTTAAAATAATTAAATAGCAAATATTAAAAGCTTACTGTCTGTTATATGGAAAATATATGGAGATATAAACATACTTTTCCCTTGCCCCCACCTCTATCATGCTATTGTTAAGTAAAAGCACTGGTTCTAAGGTTTTATATTCCTGACTTGGATTCAAAGCTTGTTCTGCTTCTTAACTGTGACCTTATCAAGTCATTTGTTTTATTTTAGTCACTGTGAAATAAGGTAATACCTACCTAACAAGTTTTTTTTTTCATGCATTGAATGAGATAAGTAGGGAATGAGATAGTTCTTGCTACACAGCAAAGGTTTAACTTTATGTTGTAAAATTTCTGAAGACCATAAAAGCATTTTGGTTTGCCTTTTCTAAAACTTGGGTTATTATTATAGTGCCAGAATATCCAATTTGCGAATCAACACCTTCTACATTCAGCATAGTTCTTATTTTGATCAATGATTACATAATAAAGATATATTCACATTCAAAGTCAGGAATTAGCCAGCAGCATAATTGAAAGGTATTCCTTTAAATAGATAAGAACACTGAACTGAGAAGGAGAGAGTATATGAAAGTTGCCTCATTAGCTTGAGGAAAGAATATGACTTGCTTAGAAAGTGAGAAGATGCAAATTGAATTGGGCGGATTTGTAAAGACTTATGGTTATGGCTGGGCTCCAACCATTCCGCCATGATGTCTGCTTAACTCGGAATATCCAGTCAAGGTCAGGTGTGTGTTGTGATTATGGATTAGTCTTTTGCTACTAAAACTGTATTCCCGGACCAGCAACATCTGCATCTCCTGGTAGCTTTTTAGAAATACAACATCACAGCTTCCCCTCCTCTGTCCCCCTCCACCCATGGGACTTGATGAACTATAATCTACATTTTAACATGACTCCTAGGAGATTCCTATTCATATTAGAGGAGCTCTGAGTTAGTCAGTAGTTTGGGGGGACACAAGTCAGTGACTGAATGGGAGATTTCATAGGTACTGTGTACTCAGAATGTCCCAGAACATTATGTACTGTACATTAATGCATATGTCATTATGCATTAATGGTCAGGAGCTCTAAGGCATGGGTATTTAACCTCTACTTCCAAGAACGAACAGAGCAGAGGGGAAGCTTGATTTGGGGGCCCATGAGGATTTCTGTCTCAGAGCTCCTGGGGCTGCACCACCTTCAGTTCAGGAATGGCAGGCCCTGGTGTCAAAGGCGACAAAAGCACATCCAGGAAGCGGAGCTGTGAGCCTCTGGGCTCGGGACAATACGCGCCTAAGTCGGGGGACCCAGAGCGCCCGGGGTGCGGCCTGGACCTGCGCAGTCCCGACCCGAGGCTGCCCTTTACCTCTCTGGCTGCCATCCATGCTTAGTCCTCTTGCAGCCGTCGTGGGGACACCCAGGTTCCCCTTGGCCCTTCCCCCAGGCCGCACCCGCCCAGGGCAGGGCACGAGTGAAAACCACCAGCCGGTGGGGGTGCAGCCGCCGGGTGACCGTAAGCAGGCGGGTTGCTAGGGGCTGGTTCCACAGCGTCGGGATTGTGACGTCACCGCGTAGAGGCCGTGCGCCCCAGCAGCCCCGCCCCCGCGGGGGGGGTCTCTGGGCAAGGGCGGGGCTTTTGCCGAAAGAGGGATGAAGGGAGGACGGGAGCGCGGGAAAAGCGCCGCATGCCAGTCTGTTACTTTGGGATCCTGCCAGTCATCCACAGTGAGAACTCCTCTGAGGAGCCAAGTCACCAGCACCTGGCAGGCTTTGTCACTGCGGGAAGAGCTGGGAGAGGAGGTGCTCTCATCTGGCATCCACATCCCCTGGGTCCCAGAAAAAAGTCAAACACAAATGTTACTTGAGGTCAGGGTAACATATAACCAGTTCCAAATAATTAAATTTCAAAGCAGTCCATGAATTTTTGGATTAGTGAAAGGCTTGGGAGTGAAAAACATCTACATATTTGCATCTTAATTCTTAACTTTAATCATCAGTTTGAATTTTGCTTATTGAGCTTCTTGTTTCCAGTCCCTACCTTCCTTTAAGGTCTCAATCCATTTTCCAGAATAATGGAAGAGAACTGAAATGTGAATAAGGTGTTGATTTATTCTGAGTGTTCTAAAATCTGTCTGTTTAATTTTGAAGTAGTTACCTGTGAACCTTTGGAAATGAGAATTGGGCGGAGAGCCTTCTGTCATGTAGGTTCTCAACAGCTGTGTCTACGGAAATTTTGGGCGGATGGGGCCCGACAGTCCTTGTGCAGTGTAAGATGTTTAGCAGTGTCCCTTGGCCTCTACTCACTAGAGGTCAATGGTCAGTCCTCTCCAGGACATTCAAAATGACTCTAGAGTCTTCTGTATTCTCAGTGGCTCTGGATGCTGAGGCAGAAGGATTGCAAGTTCAAAGCAACTTGTGAGGCCCTGAGCAACTTAGAGAAACACAGTTTCAAAAAAACAAACAAAAACAAAACCAAAAAAACAGGCTGGGGTTTCTAAGCACCCCTGGTTGGATCCCTGGCGGTACAACAAAAAAAGTCTATAGACATTGCCAAGTGTGGCCTGGGGAGCAACATTGAAAAACATTGCCATCATGGAAAGAGTACTGACTTTGGAGTCATATCTGTAGAATTCCTGTTTTCTGCCCTTGCAAGTTTGATCTTGAATTAGATTATAAATCTCTCTGTGTCTCAGTTTCCTCTTTTCTAAAATGTAAATGCTGCTACTAACTTTGTGGTTATAAGTATCGATGTGTATAGGGCTGACATATAAAAGGAGGTATTCAACAAATGTTAACTTTCTCTAAGACACCTATCTCAGAAGAGCTGAGTTATCAGGGAAGTCAGATGTAAAGCATTAAGTCAGGAACCCTAAAATAAGAAAAGAGAAATAAACCAGAAACCAAGTTATAGCCACATCTGAACCCATGGTTCCCTAAGATGTGAAGTAGGGAGAAAAATAGATTCAAAATTTGAGGAATGTGGAAGTATTGAGATGGCTCTGTGGTCACAACATTTGGAAAGATATAGGGGTGGAGAATCATATGTTTCCCAGAAAAGCCAAAACTTTCCTTTCTGCTCATGATTATGTGAAATAATCCTTCCTAAAATCATGAAGGCTTTTATTCCACTATTAGTGGCTAAAAATGTCTTGCATTTAATAGGTCTCCAGTAAGCATCTATTAAATTGAATTAGAGCCAAAGCTTAAAGGGCAAATACCCTTGGGAAAGGCAAGACAATGACTCGATTCACGTGAAAGTCATGCCAGCTCCTCTTATAAAAGTAGATTTGGGGATAAAAATAGATTTTGCTTTGAAGCCGGAGGGGGGCTGTGATTGGGAGAGGACTGCAGCCTGGAGAGGGTTCTGAAGACACCATTGCCTGGTATTCAGTTCTGCCTAAAGCCATCCTCATTTCATTACTTCTCTTTTGAGTAGTATTTGTTTTGATTCTCTCAAGAATGTATCCACAATAGAGTCCATTTCTCTCCACTTTGAGCAGTCAACATATTGTCCTAAGTGCCATTTAATTTGTTCTTTGCTTTTACTTAAATAAGAGAGAAGATCCTTTCTGGTTCCTTCTCCCAGGAGATAATCTATTGTCTTGAACAGATGCATACAGCTGGTATTAGTTTATTGCAGAATAAGCTCTCAAGAAATCCTTCCACTGGGGAGTCACTACCCATTGCAATGGCCTTGGAAAGGAGGCACTCTGAAGACCTTTTATTGAATATGTAAACATTAATTTCGTGTTCAGAAATTATTTCAATATTTAGAAATTGGCATATCTGTATTTTATTTTTTTAAACTTATATACTCTTTTTAAAATTATTTTTTAGTTTTAGGTGGACATAATATCTTTATTTCACATTTATGTGGTACTGAGGATCGAACCCAGTGCCTTGTGCATGCTAGGGGAGCACTCTACCACTGAGCCACATTCCCAGCCCAATATCTGTATTTTAGAAAGAAAAATATTATCTTCCCTAATGAACTGGCATGTGTAAGCCAATTATTTGGTTTCTCTCTCTCTTTTTTTTTAATTTACTTTTTTAGTTGTTGTTGGACACAATACCTTTATTCCATTCATTTATATTTATGTGGTGCTGAGGATCGAATCTATGGCCCTGGGCATGCTAGGCTCTACTGCTAAACCACAATCCCAGCCCCTCGGTTTCTCTTTTTGAATTAGGTGGAAAGAAGCACAAAACTAAGATTACGTTCAGTCATAATGTTATTTGTAGCCTTATTATTATTATTTTTTTGTACTGGGGATTGAACCCAGTGAGCCACAACCACTTATCCACTGAGCCACAACCCCAGGCCCCCCACAGTTTTTAAATTTAGAGACAAGATTTCCCTAAGTTGCTTAGGACCTCATTAAGTTGCTGAGGCTGGCTTCAAATTTGTGATCCTCCTGCTTCTGCCTCCTAAACTGCTGGGATTACAGGTGGGCACCACTGTGCCCAGCCTTATGTTTTATTTATCTCTTTGATTCCCTTTACTGGGAATTTAACTTTTATTCTTGTACTCTTATTTTAATGGTTCAGTTAGACCTCTTTTATTGGATGAGCTCTAAGCCCTTTGGAAATGGGGATATAAATAAATTATATCTTAAACATACCATAACATGTAGTCTATCTAATATAAATATAATATAGTTTGTATTTATCATATTTTATTATATAGCTAGTATTATTTTATTTTATTTTTTTTAGAGAGAGTGAGAGAGATAGAGGTAGAGAAAGAGAGAATTTTTTAATATTTATTTTTTAGTATTTGGCGGACACAACATCTTTGTTTGTATGTGGTGCTGAGGATCGAACCCGGGCCGCACGCATGCCAGGCGAGCGCGCCACCGCTTGAGCCACATCCCAGCCCCAGCTAGTATTATTTTAAATACTACATTATTATTATGTGTTTAATTTATATCTTCATAGGTGACCCTTAGTTTCACAAGTCAGAGGATTCCTGAAATTCATGTTTGTCCCTTTGCCTAACATCATCAGTGAAAATTACCAACAAATGCAACAAAAAGGAAAAGGTCAAGACAATTTTTTTCCTATACATTGGGTTATTATGAACACATTTTAATTCTTAAAAGTCCCAGATGGACAAAAAAGGTAATTTAGGGAATTTTTAAAAGTGTACACGGTAGGACAAAGTAAAATAAATAGAATTGAATGGTGTATGCATGCATTTTGCATTAACCTGTCTCAACACAAAATCCTTTAGGTTTTGATGACTGAAGAATGATTGAGAATTTGAACCATTGACTATTTCCCAGTCATTCCTCAATCAAAAGACTGTAGCTATTGATTCACCTAACATTTAAATGAGAAAATGGAAGTTTAGAGCTAGTTGGTATTATGTTATAAAGTAATGGATTAATTTGCTATTTGTCACTAGAGGGGGCTTTAGGAAAGTTTTAAGCTCCATATCTGAAAAATAGCCATGTGGAAACAATATTAACCTACAAAGCTTATTTGAGGATTGTCTAGTGGAACTGACAAACATTTTAAAAAATTACTCCAAAGTAAAGCTCTTCTAATTATAGTTAATGACATGTATACAGAGTTATTTTTTCAAGTGCAGGGAAAAAATGACTCTATTGCCTAAAATTCCTTAATGGATTGAAAACAGTCTTCATCATTGTCAACCTAAATAATTTGATTTTTCTTAATTTTATTATTAAAAGCATGAGAGAGCAGGAAAGACCATAATTCTCCATAAACCAATATGTGCCTAATAGAAGTACTGGTGGATGAAAGAGAGTAATAGTAGGATATACATGAACATTTCTTAAGGAATATAAGTCTGACATCTGAATATAAATATAACCTTGTCCTTAGACAATGACGATTCACAGAAATTTTGTTGTACTTTTTAATGATTAATTCCACAGTTTATTTTCATTTTTCCTATATTTGAAGAGTAAAAATCTGTAACTCTAGGTAGCTTAGCTGATGTCTTGTTACCACTGAAAGTTTCACTCCTATATTGTGACCCTTTGGCAAAGGCTGCTAAGATTGCAGATATAGACCTGCTAGTAATTGCCACCATACTTCAGCTCTCCATTTCTCCCAGCTGTGTTCTTTAAATCTTTTCATCCAATTAAGAGGACAAGTCTCTTTGAACAGGACTTAATCATTCTATGGTTCCTAGGTAACCTGTCTCCATAGCTTGAGAAGAGCATCTTATCTGTTCTACTGCCAATCAGTTGCTACAATACATTAGGGAGGATGCTTGGCCTACAGGATTGATAAAAAATTGAGAAAAAATCTCCACTCAGTGTTTTCTCAGTGCAACTGCTTACCAGTGGCTTCACCATTCAAAAAAAGCCAAACAAAAGAAAACCATAACTAAGTTGTTCTTCCATCCTGATAATTCCACTTAAAAAAATAGAATTTGGAGTTTTAACAATTTCTTTGGAATAATTTCTTTAAATATTTGAGCAAGTAAAGCTTAGAAAATGGAGGTGAGGATTCGTGACTCTTGATTCCCCTCAGACATGTTCAATATCTGACTTGACTTGACTCAAATATATGGTT